ACTCTAGTTTTCAAAGGAGAAATTTGATTTAATGACTAATGTGTTACAATTTAAAAATTACAACAATTTATGAATATGTGTACGTGGAAGAAAATCGGACTCAAATTAAATTAAATATAAATTTCTGCATTTAGGACCTTATTTTTTTTCTAATATTAACATCTCCAATGCTAGTCCAAACATTACATTTTTCTATTTTAATCACCCAAGATCATATTTAACAGCAAAGAAATTTCAATCATCTCAAAAAATATTCCTTCGCTTAGCTTCGTTTCGTCCTTTTGTAATTTTTTCCTCTCAATGTCTCCTCTTTTACTTTTTCTAATTACCATAAGTTGCAATATAAAAAAGTCGTAAAAGTCTTCTTTGATAATAGTGTTTCCCCCTTATTTCAATGAGTTATCACTTAAAAAGGATAATTTTTAACAATAACAAATAGACGCATAGATAAAGAGTGTTTAAGTCTTTATCGATATTAATTAAGTGTTATTAGATTCAATATATCAGCAATAGAGCTATTGTCGTTAATTATTTGGCAGAAAAATATTTTTTTTTACAGTGTAATAATTTCTCTTATTGGTTACTCGGCTCCTCTCATATTAGCTAATCATTTTTATTTTATTTTATACGCATATTAAGAAATTTTAACTAATAAGATAATTTTACTAATTCACTCCTTAAATTTATTTTTTTTGGAATTTTACAAAAATAAATATGAACACTTTGAAAAACAATTGATTGCAAGGGTGACATAGAAAAAAATTCAATTAATGATTTCTTGTTTTAATAAGGTGGACAACTAATTTGGATAACTATTTCTAATAAGATGATCAACTAATATGTGATGAAATGAGTATTGGTGGATCAATTTTGATTTAGCATAACTCTTTAAAAAAAATTAAGGAGTATAACTAAACAAACTTTATTAATGATATTTTGAAACTCTAAATTTGATTAATAATTTAATATAAATGGTAGAAATCAAAGGAAAAACTACAATAAAACTTTCATGATATTTTAGTTAGAAAAAGAAAATGAAATATATTTTTTTTATATAAAGGCCAAATAATATGAAATGGAGGGAGTAATAAATTGAGTGTTTAAACTGTAGATTAATGTGTAAATCCAAATTAAT